AAAAATTCTAGAAAAACACAAATAATCTAACAAACATAAAACTCTACAGTTTCTTTACCCAATTCCTAATATTTTAATAATTAAAATTTTGACAAAGATTTTATCAAAATTTAACAAACCAGGGGTATTGAGAACCAGGATGTTACAGTATGCGGGTGTCGATCACAATGTGTCCATAGTTAGAGTATACTTCCGGAAGATGTCTTAGTGTGATGATGATTTCGTAATTAATCATAATATATAATTATTACTTCTATATTTGTTTTATTATATCGAATGATTTAATACTTACCCCTATTTTTCCATGTGGATGAGACTGCGATGATCACTTTTATGTGGGAGCAGATCATGAGCTGAGAGATAGAGATGTGACTACTGGACAGCAGGGATAGTTCAGTAAGATAGTTTTGAGGGAGCTACTTTTACATGTATAATATATAAATAAATTACGTAAATTATGTTACTATATTTTGAGGTTCCGTTAGTGAATCGGAATTTCAATATATGTTACAATTACAATAATATAATGTAAGATAGATGTCGTTATTTACTTATTTACTATTTTGCGAATACATCGTTACAGTAGTCATTTATAGAGTTCGTTACAACTTATGTTAAAATTAATAAATTAATAAATTTAATTTTTTTATTTTAATTTTTTTTAACTTATTATTCTTATTATTATTATTAGTTTATAATTATTATTTTATCAATTTGATATTAGGACGTTGACATGTGTAAAAGCAATACTTTTCTAATTTTTTTTCATAAATACGTATCAATAATATATGTTAGTTTAAAAATATAATGATCTTTGAATCATCTACGTGACTTTGCTGTTATTTTTAGGAGCGGGGAGGGTCATGAATTTTTAAATTTGTGTAACTTTTATTAAATATGGGATTTTAGTATCCGAACAAAATAAATATTTAATATATTTAATTATATATTTACAATTTTATCTTTTTTATTTTTTTTAAATTTTATAATAATAAATATTTAATATATTTAATTATATATTTACAATTTTATCTTTTTTATTTTCTTTTTAATTTTATAATTTTTATATAATTTATTATTTTATTATTTTTAAACTTAATGATCATTTAATATATTTAAATATATATTGTTCACAGTATTAATGATCACGGCAGTGTGTGGCTTTTCATTACTAGTAAAAAAAATGTTACCCAATATATAACATTTACTTAAAATCCATGTGTTTTGCATATTATTAGTGTTAGAAAATATAAATTAATGCATCATTGTTATTTAAAACGTGTGCAAGACGTACTACAAGAATATTACATAACTTGTTATTGTTACTTAAAATATATGTTTGGCGTATCACTGTGATTAAAAAAACATAAACTTGGAGGTTATTATAAAATACGTCATTGACACTCAAAATACATTCATTCACCCACATGTCACTGTTTTTAAAATGTTTATCTAACACATCTGGTTTTTAAGCATGTCATTATTACGTAAAACATTGTCGAACAAATCATCACCATAATCATACATAATAAAATACATGATAGGCGTGAACAAGAATTCAAAAATGTATACGCTTATCTAAATTTGAAGATTAAATAAAAAATATTTTAAATTTAATCAAATGAGTAAGTAATTGAATAACGAGAGTGGATTATAATAAATAGACACAGTTGAATTTGAATCTAGTTCTTTCAAATCGTCCAAGCCAATTGAATATGTTTATATTTCATTTTTTGAAATCTTAGATATAATAAGGAAAGCTAGAGAAATTATATTATGAAGCTTTGAGAGAGTTGCTCTTATAGGTTAATAGACACAGTTGAATTTGAATCTAGATTTATTCAAAACAAAATCAATTTTATTATAGATGGCAATTTTATTATATCTATTAACCTAAAAGTTTTAAATCACTTTGTATTTACTTCGTAGAGACAAAGTTCGACAATGAGATTGAACCCTATATTTTTATTATTAATTTTTATTTTATCTTCTAATTTCATGACTTTTCGTTGATGTAAGTAATGGTGAACAACAGAGTTTTGTCTATCCTCAAAGAATCACGTCTTAAAACATTTCTTTTTTCTTTCTTCATTTTCAAATTCTTTCTTTTCTTAAAGCATCATAAACTAAAATTATGACAATATTTATGTAATGTGAAATTTTTTATATTATTATATTATATCTCTATTCTCAAAATTATTTATCATCTTAATTTTAAGTTTCTCTCTCTCTCACACACACACACACACACATATATATATATATATATATATATATATATATATATATATATATATATATTTCAGAACTACTCTTAAAATTTGTACAAAAAATATAGAAAATAAAAGTTTTATTGTTATTATTATGTTTAGCTTCTAGATTATAAAATTATGATTTTGATAAATTGAATTGGATTTTTTTCATCTTGTGAATTCTTTATTTTTAATTTTTATTCTTTGTCTTTTAGAAGTCATTTGTTAAATACAAATGTTGGGATTGAATCTATTTATTTTTTGGAATTTATATCTCCATTATATTTATCTTATAATTATTTCATCACTTGCTTTTCATTTTTGCTATTCTTTAATAATGCTACGTATAAATATAGTTCATTTATAGCTTAAGAATATTCATATAACATAATTATATGTATTATAATTAATACTAAACAAATTGCAAGAATTGTTGGTATTAAGATGAGTTGAATTTTCTTTTTATCAAACACAATTATTTGAAGTTCTAAATGTTTTTACAAAATGTAAAGAGATTGATTTGTTTCCATTTTTATATATGATATTTCCTAGTTAACCAATGATTGAAGCTAAAATAGATGTTTTATTATAACAGTAATAGTAGCAAACATCTAACAAACACAATTTCCTTGTTTCTATTTAAAGTTGTTTCGTTATTATACAATAACAATCATACATGAGTACCAATTCTTTTAAAATCCTCTGACATACAAATAACATATATTTTATATTTATATTTAAAACTTTTTATTATATTTTCTTAGTATTTTTTACCTCTTTTAATTTATATTTTCTTATATTTTTGTCATCTATAATAAAATTGAATTTGTTTTCAATATCATATTTGTTCATTTTATTTTTTTAATAACTTTCTATATAAATATTAATTTTAGTTAATTATTGTTTCATTTGATTCCGTATTTCAATAAATTTAGTTTTAGTACATAGAACGTAATTTTTAATATATTTATGATGTTATATGTAAATGTAATAAATCATATAATTTTTTAATAGTATATTTTTTATTAATATTAACTTTCTAAATTTATTTACACTAGTAAATCCATATTAATGATAATAGTGAATTAAAAAATTCAATTATAAATTTAGAAATTTATTAATTGTAATATAAAATTAAAATTATTAAGAATAATTTAAGTTTTTAATACATTTTCATTAACTTACATTCAATATCATGATAATAATTTTTAGATTTATTTAAATTAATAATTATAATTATATCAAATCATTAGTTTAATATAATAATAAAACTTATAATAAAAATAAAATAATTGTATACTTTAAACCAATATTCTCTCAATTTAGTAATTTAATTTTTTTAATATTTATCAAAATGATTTTTAAATAAAAAAACGTGTAAAAGTTATTGTAAACCAATATACTCTGAACTGTTGAGGAATTTTAAGGCCTTAAACAATTTTTAAATAATATTATATAATTTTTTAAAAAATAATTATAGAATTAATTTTAAATATTAAAAATTTTAATGTAATTAAAACTTTTTTATTATGTATATATATTATCGTACATATTTTGTTGATATGGAACATAAATTTTATCAAGAATTGCGTTGCTATAAATTATTTTTACTTAATTTTTTATATACTTATTTAAGAGAAAATATTTATAAGAAAAAGTCATAATATTTTACAGAAAATTGTTTAATATTTATTTATTACATACTAAATGATTTGAACATAAATATATACATCCTAATCAATTTTAAGATAAATTTTAAATTTTGTTATATGTTATAATATTATTCCGAGACGAGATTTTATTACATTTCTCTCTCAAATCTTGAAAAAATAGTTGTTCATTAAGAAAAAAATTATCACTTAAAAATATCTTATATTTATAAGATAAAAGATATTTAAAAAATATATATATGTTGAATTGATAAATTAAATTGAAAGAATGTGATTAAGTAAGTAAATATCTAAAACTATCCGATTAATTTCAAAAAATTAAATATATGAAATGATTGTCCAAAGCAATTATTTTAAATATTTGCATTATGTTATATTCATTATCCTCTTATTATAATGATCAGCATATCTGCCAAATATGTTTACCACTTTTATAGCCGTAGACAAATTTATATTCCTAACTTAGTTTACCACTTAAAAAGTGAAAAATACTCATATTTTTTTTATTTACAAAATATATTTTGTGTAAATCTATTCATTTCACATCTATAGTTTCTTTAGTCAATGTAATGTCACAAGACATTATAAAAGCATATAATTAACATCTTAGGATGATTATTATTTGTAGACTCACAACACAAATCTCAAGAGTGTTAACACATCCTATTATTACCTATAGCATGATCGACTACGTTGAGAATTAAAAAGTTATTTTAAATTACCTTTTTTTTTTCCTTGTAGAAAACATACCTTTCTAAAACTGAACAATAATTATTTTGATTTAAATTTATTTAAAAATGATATTCTCCTCTTAAGAATGTGTTACTACTGCCACCGTGGACTTGCCTACACTTGATTCTCCTTATCTTATCTTTCGTCGTGTCCACGTTGCCAATGTTATATCCATCACAACATTTCATTTCAGAAGCGGAAAGAACCTCACCGTCGTTGTTTGCAGCTTTACTAGCTACCACACTCGCACCAAGACCATGAAACCTATCTTCCCTGTCTAACCCAATTCAAAATCCTCACTATAGACAATTTCTTCAATTTTTGTGCACAATTCTCAATCCCAACCATGGCGTCGTCGTCGCTCTGTTCCTCTTTCACCTCCAAAACGTGGAACCCGCACGCATGTTATCACTACAAAACCCTAACTCCACCGGCTTCTGCTTTTCTTCGCGGAGACCTCCTGCTCCATCCGCCGTCGATTTCCGGCACACGTCGGAGCAGGAGGCGTCGATCGGGTGCCATGGCGTCCCTCGGAGGTTTGCTCGGCGGCATCTTCAAAGGCGCTGACACGGGAGAATCCACGAGGCAGCAATATGCTGCAACTGTTAACATTATCAAAGGATTGGAACCGGAGATTTCTGCATTGTCGGACTCGGAACTGAGGGACAGGACTTTTGCGCTGCGAGAACGCGCGCAACAGGGCCAGTCTTTGGATTCTATCTTGCCGGTGGGTTTATACTTTTGCTTGTTGTAGTTTTACGAGTGGTGTTTGAAATCAAATGTAGTTGCTCTTGATCGTGACCAAGGAAGTAAAGTGTATGTGCGTATGTGTTGCAGGAGGCGTTTGCTGTGGTGAGAGAAGCTTCGAAGAGGGTTCTTGGCCTTCGTCCCTTCGATGTCCAGCTCATAGGTAGTCTTTCGTCGACGAATAGTTGTTTATGGCATTGGACTGTCATTTTGTAGGAAAAAACTTACATGCATTAAGTGTCTTTTGGTGTTGTTCTTCAAAGTGATGTTTCAATTAAAATAACCGACGCAATAAAGTTTGTATTGAAGATTAACATAGGTCCCAATCGGTACCAAAAACACAAGTGGAATTGTATCCAAGTTTTGTACTTATTCTATTGCCTTATACATATTGTAGTATACTCTAGCTCGTGCTATTTATTGTGTATATAAATATATGCAGAAGAGGAAAAGTTATGAATATTGTTAGTTTGGGTCATGTAGGAGGCATGGTTCTTCACAAAGGGGAAATAGCTGAAATGAGAACTGGAGAAGGGAAGACATTGGTTGCGGTTTTGCCAGCTTATTTAAATGCATTAAGTGGGAAGGGAGTTCATGTCGTAACTGTCAATGATTATCTGGCTAGGCGGGATTGTGAGTGGGTTGGTCAGGTTCCACGCTTTCTAGGATTGAAGGTTGGCCTCATTCAGCGTATGTCTCATAATTTGTTCCTTCCCTCTCCTCTTTTTATCTGTATTCTCTAACTTCATCTATATTCATCCATTGTTAATCACTTGGGGTTGGTTGTGAGCCTACTTGGGTAAACTTCTTTGTAAGCATTTCTTGAAAGAAAATAAAATTAATTTCTCCATAAGCTAAAATTAGTTTACACACAAGTTAAAAATTTGTTTTTTTTTTTTTTAATATGAGAGATTCTATAAATTAACTTATGCACAAACTAATTTTAGCTTATGGAGAAACTTATTTTATTTTTTCTTCTTCTAGAAGTGCTCATGGAGATGTTCGGGCATAAAGGCATTGTGTTTCAAACTTCTGTGTTACTTTGTTGCCCTCCAGTCTATTTTCTTTTCTTAATAAACTCTTATTCATTCCTGACTTAATTTGTTCTTTGGTTTTCGTTTAGGGTTTTTTTTTTTACTTTTTATTTTTATCTTCTTTCAACTGAGCTTCTTTAATCGGTAAAACATTTTAAATCTATTATTTTGTGGCAGTCTAACTCAATATATTTGTTGGCAGAGAATATGACAAGTCAGCAAAGAAAGGAAAATTACTCATGTGATATAACATATGTCACTAATAGTGAGCTTGGTTTTGATTACTTGAGAGACAATCTTGCCACGGAAAGTAATTTTTCCTTTACATATTTCTTGCAAAATGCTTTTTAGATTGTAATTTCTATCCTTTTAATATGGTGCTGAACTCTGAACTGTGGAATGTACAGAGTGTCGAAGATCTTGTTGTAAGGGGTTTCAATTACTGTATCATTGATGAGGTTGATTCAATTCTTATTGATGAAGCTAGAACACCACTTATTATATCAGGACCTGCAGAGAAACCCAGTGATCGATATTATAAGGCTGCAAAGATTGCAGAAGCATTTGAGAGAGACATACATTACACTGTAAGTCTAATAAATTATGTTTACATTTTTAAATTTGAGGTATTATGTTTATCAGAATACATACTCTATGTTTCTCTATTCCTACATGCTCAGATCACTGTAAGCAAATCTGGTATTTTATGTTTTTAGAAGTCTTATTATGTATAATTAAGGAAATTTTGCTACATTTAATGTTGTCTCCTCACAGCATTTACCGTTGGGCTTATAAATTTTAATTAGAATATGACAACAAAATTATAAACTGGGAGTGCATTGTCATGATTAGTATTAATATTGTGATTCCTTGATAGGAACTTCACAACAATGGTAAGTGAAGTTCCTTTGTGATTGTTAATTTTTCCCTTTCGGGAGGTATAATTGATGGAAGGATATATTAGTTTGCCTTATTTGTAATGATATCTCAGTTCCAACAATGATTTCATTAGATATCTTAGTCATACAACTAGAATTTCTGTGAACCCAGCTAGATTCAAGCACATTGTACTTTTTAATTATTGAGAGAACTTGAGTACTCTATTCTGGATCTAGGAAAGTGCTCCCAGAGATTTTTTATTTTTTTTTCCTTCTGAAACGTACAAGAGCAGATCAATCAACTTATTGATGTTGGAAGACTAAGATGATTCTTCCTAAACGTATGAATTTCATTAGAACTAAAAATGATACATTGGAAGAATCAATTGTATCCCAATATCAATAGGTTGATTTCGCATATGCATAATCCAAAAAGAAAAAAGAACTTTGAAAGCATAGACAATGTGTTCAAATTGTTCCTAACATTATTAAAACAAAAAAAGTGTTTATTTTTTTCATTAATTGATATTTTTATCCCTCAATTCAAACACAACAACAATGCTAAGTGAAGTTCATGCGTGATTATTATTTTTTCCACTTTTTTCAAGGTCTACTTACTGAGAGGAGATCTTCATTTGCCTGGTTTGTGAGACATGAAGATGTTTGAATTACTCGTACTATTTACAAAAAACAAAAATGTACGGTGAAGGAATATTTATCCCTGCTTTTTTATGGAGGTCATGGACCTTTCCTGTTTTTTCAAACATCTGCTAATATGGGGTGAGGGTTGGGTAGATTGAAAGAAAAGTAGGAAACATGATCAGACTAGCCCTAGGTTAATGAAAATGAGGGAGAAGATAAGAAGATGCCTTATAGATATGAGAAAAAAGGCTATGCACTGACATTATAAAAGAAATTTACATTGTAATCTAATCATAAGCTGTCGTGTAGGATAAATTTATTGACTTTTATAATAGATACCTTAAAAGTCATCTACCATGATTTTTTATTTACACGGATAGTACATAGTCGTTAAACTCTCTAAATATTATATACAACGAAATGCTTATCTGAATAGAAACAGTAAATTTGATATGCAAGTTAGTTTGTATATCAGGGCTGCTTGGCAATGCGAATAAAATTCTGTCATTCACATTGCCTAACAACTGGGTGCTTTTCATGGTATGTTGTGTATGAATAGATTAGAGATATTGTGTTGAAAATGGGAAACAAAGTCTGTTAAATCAATTAAAATCAACATGGTTGTGGAGGTTTTGATATTTCTTTTGTATCATGACGCTACATTTTCATCATGACCTTAACTTGTTTTTGTCTTCAATGACAGGAACATATGCTTAATTTATTAAAATAAAATCGTATCTTTGAATTTTGTTATCCTTACTGAGATTGCCATTGCAGGTGGATGAAAAACAAAAAACAGTTCTACTTTCTGAGCAGGGTTATGAAGATGCTGAAGAAATTTTAGCTGTCAAAGATTTATATGATCCACGGGAACAGTGGGCTTCATATATCCTAAATGCGATAAAAGCAAAAGAACTCTTTCTTCTAGATGTAAACTACATTATCCGTGGAAAAGAGGTCCTTATTGTTGATGAGTTTACTGGTCGAGTCATGCAGGTATTGAGAGATTCTATTTGACTTAATGGCAATAAACAATTTAGCAAGCAAAGACAGAGAATAGTAGTGTCAGCATAGCAGTTTATTGATCTACATTTGATATAATTGTTTTTATAATAATTATAATCTCAGCCTTTTACACATACTAACTTTTATTATGGAGTTCTTCTGTTTTAGATTATGGCTGAGGAAAAAGTATTAAATTATAATTTAATGCGCTGCTTTGTCCTTTACTGGATAACTTGTGACTGTTATTCAACAATTAAAGCATTATTATTATTTAATTATTGATACTATAAGAATAGTTGTAGTTAGTATTCGCTAGATTTAGTTTGAAGTTTCTGCAAGAAAATTAGTCTACAGTCTACACCTGGACAATACTTGAGCTTCCCTACTTGAAATGCAAACTAATAGAGATTCTACCTTGTGATACATTTCACATGTTCTCCTTATCTTTAAACACCCTTCCATGAAATGACATATACAAGGATATTTTGTACTTGTAATTACAATGCCAAACCTTGGTGTTATATTACTATCTAATTATTGTAGAGTACATGTGTAGCCAAGAGCAAAATCTTATATATTATTGGTACTCACTATCAATTCTATAGAGAAAACAAATAATTAAACTTACGTGAGAAAAGAGTATTCACGTGTTGATATTTCTGAGAAGTTAATTTGGCACTAGTAATTTTTATTTGCTTATAGGGGAGAAGGTGGAGTGATGGCCTTCACCAAGCAGTTGAGGCAAAAGAAAGGCTGCCAATTCAAAATGAAACTGTCACACTGGCTTCCATCAGTTACCAGAATTTCTTTCTTCAGGTTGGCAATGTCATATTTGAGCTGATTAAGTGAATCATCATTCATTTGCCTTTGAAATTATCTTGATGCTTTCAACTATGTACCTCTACAGTTTCCCAAACTTTGTGGCATGACTGGCACTGCAGCAACAGAAAGCACAGAATTTGAGAGCATTTACAAGCTTAAAGTTACAATTGTGCCAACAAACAAACCTATGATAAGAAAGGTTTCTTCTTGCTTGTCCTTCATGTGCAGCATTTTAATAAACTGATGATTGTTTTGCCATGTGGAATCTGTATTCCAATTCCTGAACTAGAGTAATGGTAATATATTTATTATATCTAGATGGACAATGTATGTGTAAATTATTCTAGTTCCATCTGAGGTAGTGTAGGTGGATTGCTTCCATTTAAAGTTAAGTTCAGAAGCCTCACTGTTCATCTTTGTGGATTGCTTCCATCTCATGTGTAGTTACTAATCTTTAATTTCTTTCTCAGGATGAATCTGATGTAGTTTTTAGGGCAACTTCAGGGAAATGGCGTGCAGTTGTAGTGGAAATCTCTAGGATGCACAAAACTGGTCGACCAGTGCTTGTTGGCACGACTAGTGTTGAGCAGAGCGATGCTTTGTCAGAGCAATTGAAAGAATCTGGAATTCCACATGAGGTAAGGTCTTGCTTGTCTTCCTATACTATACCACCATATTTAGAGGCATCATTTACAATGTAAGCACTTTTTCTCTTTATAAAAAAATCCATAAAAAAGATGAATTATATTTTTCCAAGAAAGGCGTATTCGCTTTCTTAAAACAACTTGATAAGTTGGACATTTTTTCTATGATAATAATTAGTAAATCACACAAAACAACATTGAAACACATTCTTTTTAAAAATATTTTATATTATATTTTAAGGTGACTTTTTGAAAGTTTAAAAAAGTTTATTTATTTTCTTATAATACAAGTGTGCTTGAAGAATCCAAACATTCGTAGGTGTTGGCTCAAGTGGTTGAGCTTTTTGATTGGAAATCGAATGGGGGGTGTTCAACATGTGTCCTACCGAAGTTGGTTTCAGAAAAACATGTCTGTCTGACATAGATACTCCACCAGCTCAAGCAGTGTCTATGCTTCATAGACATATTATGTTACTATAATACTTTGTCAATGATACCTGTTTCAAATAATTTTTGCTTCTAAAATAGATAGCCTACTCAGCCTAGGACAAGTTGTTGATAACACTGACCATCTGCTCATCCATTTGATAGAATGAGATGCAACCACTTTTTTTTCTTAATATTTTTTGGCTATAGAATGAAATATGTATTGTTTCTAGGTTCTTAATGCAAAACCAGAAAATGTTGAGAGGGAAGCAGAAATTGTGGCACAGAGTGGTCGTCTTGGGGCAGTTACAATTGCAACCAATATGGCTGGTCGTGGGACAGATATAATCCTTGGTGGTAATGCTGAATTTATGGCACGGTTGAAGCTTCGTGAGATGCTGATGTCTAGGTATTATTTTATTATGGATAATGTGTTCTTCCATGTACCCGTTGCCATTTGATTGAAATTATTTAAAATGGTATTTGGAAGAAAAGAGGATAGGTTCAGTGGGGGGAGGTGAGGATGGTTTAAGGAGATGCTGCCTGGGGTGGGATTTTAATGAGTGAGATTCTCTTTGCAAAGTTAGAAACAAAAATGCTTGAATGGAAGTGTGTGCTTGCCCGTTTACACGGAAAAAGAAAAAAAAAAACTTGTCTGAAGTGAAGGAGTGAAGTGGTTTAGGTTTTTCTGGTGCCTCCCACCATGCCTTTTTATTTAAAGGCAGACCTATTTTAATTACACACACACACACACACATAAATATATATATGCCTTGCTTGCACAATCTCACTTTTTTCTGAGTTTTATTTGTCACTGATGAAACCTTAATGGGTGAGAAAAAAAATCCTTTGATTACCTCTATCCTATGGTTAAATTCCTACTTTTAGAGCCTGTCTTGCATTAGATCTGAAAGTAAAACAAGTTCCAAGTTATTGAAGACATCTTATCAAACAAGCATTACATTTTTTCTGTGAACTTGATTGCAGAGTTGTTAAGCCAGCCGAAGAGGGCTTTGTTTCAATAAAGAAGCCTCCTCCCTACAAGACATGGAAGGTATGGTGTTTTTCTTTTAAACACTGCATATGTAAAATACAATCATGGTTTGGGTGCGCTAACTTACCCCTGCTTACTCTCTAGAAGGAGGGTGTTAGCAATCTATTCGCTTAGACCAAAATGCCCTATGTATTATTTCTGAAAAGCAATAAGTAGATAAGGATATTTAAGACATTTTAAGAACCTTTGAAACAATTGGGTGGAGAAAAGATGAGTTTTAGTAATTGAGTGAAATCGAACAGGGACCAGCAGAAAAAAAAAATTTCTCCAACAATTTCCCTATTTCATGAAATTTGTAGCTCTCTGAAGGAATCCCACCTTTAGTCCCTTTACATATTGAACTGATCAAATAACTGCTCTTATTGTCCCTAATCAACAATCTCAAATTAATTTTACTTCTGTTCTATTCTAGCTTCACAATCATGGGCTTTTAAAATTTAAATTAACTAATTATTTGTTTTTCCCTCATTTTTTATCTCTCTCTTGTACTTTTTCATCGTTTTCTAAATTTAAGTGTGCTACGACTCAGAAAGATTCCACTAATGGGAAAACATGAAAAGGTGCTGGTTGGCAATGACAGTTCTCAAAATTATGATGGTTCATTTTGTTGGAACGAATCAATGGTTAATAAATTTGTCACACTTGGGAGTTGTGGACAGCAATCATTAGGCAACATTAAACCCAATGAGTATGTTTGCATCCTTCAGTTTACGATAGTGAACAATATGCAAAGAGAAGAATGTTATGCTTGAACCAGGCTTTTGCTAGATCATCTTTGACTGTAAAGAGCTGCATTTATGGTTTAAAATGGAGGGAAGAAATCGGTTGGTGTTATCAATAGAATTAAGCTGTGAAAGATGAATATCTGGAAGGTGGTGGATAGGGAATTCTGGATGTCTGTAGAAAAGAAACTTGAATTCCAAATCTTTTTGTTTTTCAAATATATTTATATTACAAAAGGTACACATAAATCTATGTTGATTTAGATGTGTGTGTGCGCCTTTATTTGTTTATATGTTTGTCTCTACGTACTTTTTACAGTACTGTTTTGAAACTCCACATATATCATTATTCAGGTGAATGAGAAGTTACTCCCTTGCCAACTATCAAATAAAAATGTGGACTTGGTTGAAAAGGCTGTGCAATTAGCTGTTGAAACATGGGGCAAAAGATCATTAACTGAGCTTGAAGCAGAGGAGCGCCTATCCTATGCATGTGAAAAGGTGACAATCTGACAATACTTGTTTTAGCAATACTTTTATAAGACGACTAGAGTTTTCTTTGATATATAAGTTGTGAATTTTTCATTCCGTACAATAAAATTGTCATTATATAATTTTATGTAGGGCCCTGCTCAAGATGAAGTCATTGCCAAGCTGAGAAATGCATTTTTGGAAATTGGAAAAGAATACAAAGTCTTCACTGAGGAAGAGAGGAAGAAGGTCAATATGTTTCTTAACTAATACCTCCCCTCATACATTCCTGTTGATTAATTATTAATGATCATTATCACTGCAGGTTGTGGAAGCTGGTGGACTACATGTAGTGGGCACAGAGCGTCATGAATCACGTCGAATTGATAATCAGGTTTTCTATTCTTACCTCCTTTTCCTTGTTGGGTTGAAAGGAGGGAAGCAGGGATGAAATAAGTTGTGGACTTATTTCACCATTGCAGCTATAATAGCTTCTCCTACCCTGTTAAATAAGTATTTGAACTTAAGACGCTGTTTTTTATCAATAAAGCTGCGTGGTCGAAGTGGCAGACAAGGAGATCCTGGAAGCTCACGCTTTTTTTTAAGTCTTGAAGATAACATATTTCGTATTTTTGGTGGAGATCGAATTCAGGTAATGCATTGTTGTGCTGCTGCAACACTTGGAATTGTTTGCCCGCAACTTGGTTAGGTTAAGATTTTGATGTGTATTGTATAGGGTTTAATGCGAGCTTTCAGAGTTGAAGACCTACCTATTGAGTCCAAGATGCTGACCAAAGCATTAGATGAAGCCCAAAGGAAAGTGGAGAACTATTTCTTTGACATTCGGAAGCAGTTGTTTGAGTATGATGAAGTACTTAACAGCCAAAGAGATCGAGTTTACACTGAGAGAAGACGAGCTCTTGAATCTGACAATCTTCAGTCTCTTCTTATTGAATATGCTGAATTGACAATGGATGACATTTTAGAGGTAAGTCTTGCTAAAATTAAGCGTCTAATCATACCTTTCCCCATTGTCTAACTTGATAATGCAATCATGATGAATTAGGCAAACATTGGTTCTGATACTCCAAAGGACAGCTGGGATCTTGAAAAACTAATTGCAAAAATTCAGCAGTAAGTGAAATCTTTTGCCTTTATGCTTGATGCCATGCTTGATTTAGTTATATGCAGAACCCTGTTTGTTTTTAGTCATTGTTACTCATTAATGTAAATTGATCTGAAATGGTTATAAATAAGAGGTAGTACAGCTTAGTGCTTTCTTCGCAAACAATTTACCAAATCTCTGTCTTCAACACTATGGAAGGACAAGGATTCTAGCTTACCTTAGGTTTATTTGCTCATTAAATTAAGCCAAAGTTTTTTTAGAAGCATATTCAGCCAATAAACGTCAGGCTTTAGGTTATCCAAAAAGTTTAGGCTTAGTTGTCCTATTTAAGTTTTTGTTATTGATTATTTGTTGTTCTTATTATGTCCTGAAAATTTTCAATCTCTCATTATTATTATTATATTTAAATATTTCAGTCCTTGACTTAACATAAAGACCTAGGCTCACTATCTTATACGTTGTTGACTTTTAAAAGGGCCAGATTATGAGTTGTAAAGGGTCCATGTCAAGTGAATAAACTAGGTTCAGCTTTTAGTTTTGGAATCCCGACCAGCAATGTAAAACATAAAACTTGGCTTAGCTTAACGTATTTTCACTACGACCAGCAACCAACCTCTCCAACTATGAACTGGCCATTTTCTCGATCTCGAAGATGCCTGACTGCATAGGCAGGATTAAATTGCCCCTGAATTGGAGAAAACTAGGTGTTTTCATTGAATTGGTCAAGGGCTGCTTTGCGCACACTCGTGAGGCAACACCTCATTTTTTATAACTTACTGTTTACATCACCCGGCAAGAGAACAACCAACTTTACTGTTTTTACATTATTGAATAACTTTGGTAAAAATATATTTTCTACAGTTATAAATACTGGATTATTTATAGAATCAATATATCTAATTTATTTATATAATGAATTAATGTGATAAACAAGCTATTAAAAATCAAGAATGTTTTGCCTGATTGTTTCTTTTTTATTATTATTAATTTCTTCAAAATAATCCAAGTAGACAATTGATTTACTAAGTTGAATGCGTCTAACACTGTTTTATTTCATTTTTTATTGGTTTTTAATAGTAAAGCAGATCATTTTTAACTCAACCGAGACTAAGATTTTCTCGAGCAATTTTAATAACACCCTTAACAGTATCCTGATCCACTTAGGAAGGGAAAGTAAGGGACTGTTTTCTTTGAAAATGTTTTCACTTTCTGTAATTACAAGAATGTGAACTTGTTTTCATTAATTTTCAGTTTCCAAAGAGTTGTACAAGATACAATGAAAAAAAAACTATTGGGGTGGTTTCTTATATTAGCTTGTAAAAACAATAAACTACACAAAAGGTGCCGTTTTTAAAAATTAAAATAAAATAGAAAAAAATATCTCAAACCAAAATATTCTTAACTTTTCTAAATGTCAGCGTTAAGTTCAAACTGTGAAGTCAATCTAAGTAGCATCTCTTGGATATTTGTTTGAATTTCTAATTTGTCGATTGTATTTTTGTCCATTATTTATGATGGGGTTCTATTTGAGTTGAATGAGCATGTCAGTGTCAAAGTTATTACATTGTTAATCAATCAAAAGTTCTCTTTGATATAACTTGTAGTTATTAATTTATTAAAAAAAGTCAAATTTTGTATAGTAAAAATTATTATATTTTGCATATATTATGTTCTCTTCCTGTATTTGGGTACTTGATAAGAGTTTAGTTTCTATATATGCACATGCTGCCAATGTAAAGTTTTACAATATTAATCAATTAAAAATCATGACAAATAAACTTATTCATGACAACTTGTAATTGAATGATAATATAAAATATTTTTACACTGTCGATGCATCTACTATCATTGATGCGTTTGATAGCGCATGTTTTTGGCTAATATAGATATAACCAGTTTTCTGACAGAAGATTTTATTTTTCATTAGATATTGCTACTTGTTGAATGATTTAACCCTTGATTTGCTGACGAACGAGTGTTCAGACTATGAAGAATTGCGGAATTATCTCCGTCTTCGTGGTCGTGAAGCCTACAAGCAGAAAAGGGTCAGTTTAACAGTTATTATTTAGGAATTAAATCAACCATTCTCTTTATATTATTAAATAACACATTGGAGAGGGGAACCGAGATTTTGCCTCTTCAAAAGGGGGATTCTTTGTATACGTTTTCTTTTAATTAAAAATTATAAGGACAAAAAATGAGAATAGTGATTTAAATAAAATATTTTATTATGCAAGTTTTGGGGGAAGAGGGGAAATTATCAAACATCACTCCAACTTGTTCCGCATTAAAGTTTGAAATTTTAGCTTCTTGTGTGTTGTGTCTAAAAAAACTGAGGCGTCTTGACTTTTCCTTTTCATTACTACAATCCCCACAGGATATTGTGGAGGAACAAGCAGCTGGCTTGATGAAAGAAGCAGAGCGGTTCTTAGTCTTGAGCAATATCGATCGCTTGTGGAAGGAACATCTGCAAGCACTAAAGTTTGTTCAGCAAGCCGTAGGTTTACGCGGATATGCGCAGCGCGATCCACTTATTGAGTATAAACTTGAAGGCTATAACCTTTTCTTGGATATGATGGCACAAATAAGAAGAAATGTCATATATTCTGTATATCAGGTTTGCTTTAATCTAAAGTTTTAGGCTGCTGAGCTTTCCACCTTATCCGTTATTATAATGCTTATAACTGCTTAACTTTTTTTTTTTTTTTTTACGAAAATATGGCAGTTCCAACCTGTGCTAGTAAAGCAAGATCAGAATAAAACGGAGAATGGCAAATCAGGAAAACGTAATGCACGCAATCGGGTTAATCCAAATCCTGATCCAATTGGTACCATCGAGACTTCAACATCAAGTACTAAGTCCTAAGACGGCAATCAACATTAGTATTAATCAGGAGTTCCAGCATACTGAGCGAGAAGAATCAACTTAAAAAATTCAGTTGGTTCCTCCATGTCTGTAGCAATTTATTGTAGAAATTTTCATTTGGTCAACGTAAATTTACAGATGTAAACGGAAAATAGAAATTATCTCATTCTCAAACATAAAATAATAATAAAAAAATACCTACAAGTGCATATTATAAAAACAGAACACTTTAGAATGCCAGGCCAAAATAGTATTGATTATAAACACAAGTATAGCGATTAAATTTACATGTGTACCAAACATAATTACATTTGTGACAGGGTCTTAAAAATGCCTTTCGCGCATCAAAATATTCTTGCTGAATTCTAACCGTCAGGTCGAAGTTCAAATCTATCACCTTGAACAACTTCCTGAATAATTTTATTTATGCTGCTTTGTTTAACCTGTATTCATTGAAACACAAATAATAGTACTACTCAGTAAACCAAGATCCAAAAATAAAAAATACAAATTAGGGGATTTTAACGCTGAAAACTTTAAGAAAAATCATGGTTACTCCTCAAGAGAATCTGTAGCAGTTTCCCCAAGAAGTTTATATCATGAAAAGTTAAAGTAGATTAACCTGTTTTAAATAAACACTTCTCTCATTCTTTTTAGAACTTTTAAATAATGTTTATTTATTATTCAAAGAATACCAGAAACAAAGATGATATAGACATAGTTTCGTGCGAGGACCTCACCTTAATTCCGATAGCAATGGCAGTTTTTAACTGAACAAGTTCACCTAGTCTCAAAGAACCTTGTTTATTATCTTTAACAAAGATCAGGGGTACACTCCTCGATGAAGCCAAGCTTAGCAGATGCTTCGTCAGCCATCGTGGGTTGCAGTCAGAAGCTACAAGCACAGCCTGCATAATGTACAACGTAAATAATGTCCTTTTCGGGACTTGACTATATAACAAAGTCATGCACCCACACCTGACAGCAGAAACACTACGAATACAACTTGTTCATTTATTTCAAGAAAAAACTAAGCAAGTTAGAGCAATGCAAGAAAAAATAATGAGACTCTCACATGCAAAATCAACCATTAGAATTTGCAGGAGTCAGCAATAACAAAGAGCCTTATTATCGTAGTTGGCTGTTTGCAGCATCATGTGAAGGTTAAAACATCATAAAAAAGTGCATGTTGAAGGATTTACTTATAAGTGACGAACTAATAAGTAAAAACGAAGGTACTAATTAAGCGATTAACTAAATATATACATATTCTACACAGCACGACAGAGGAAATCAACCTGAAGCTTAACTGAAGATGCTTTACTGTTGCTTCTTAAAGGGAACTGTTGAGCTGACCTCTCTAACTCAGTGCATGGTTTCATGCGCTCAAGGACACGAGTGACATCATTGACCCCGATAGAAAATTGTTGCTGTGAGGACAACAGAAGGTTACATGACAATGTATGCTTCCTGATAAATATACCGAAATGTCTTAAAAGTTTCACAAACCAACCAAGTAGAAGTTTAACCTTTAACCATATCTTCTCTGGCAAGGAACTTCCATCTGAATTTCTTGCCAATTGGATCTCCCTGTTCAACAGAATAAGGATTAGTCAGACAAGGTGTTACACCATGGTTGAAGGTAGTTGAGTAGTTCACTCTTTAAAATGTTAAAATTTTCTCAGGTCACTGCCTCGGCTTTAGTCAACAATAAATCATGTTTGAAGAATGATTAAGCATCCAATGTGAAACATGCATCTTACCTACGAATTGATTGGAGCAGACTGGTGAGACGTTCTCCTTCATAGCAACTGCAAAAGGAATTAGAAAATGTAAAACTTTTTCTAAATATTACATCGTCAATAATTTAATACAAAAATAATTTTATCGATTCAACCATGAAATTATAACTTCATATCATTTCGATTATTAATTTCAAATTTTGTTAAAAAATAACAAGGCCAATATCAAAGTGATGAAGTAGTTCAAATTTTATTATATTTTATAAACTATATATTATATTGATTTTGATCTTACATAAACTACAAATATAAAATTTGGTCATATAAAACAATGTCAAAAAGATTAATATATTGAAAGATGTCATATATATATATATATATATATATATATATATATATATATATATATATATATATATATATATATATAAAGAAAGGGGAGAGTGCTGCATACTTGTTTTCTAGAGAGGCAAAGCCCGAATTCGAGTTGTTCCCATCCTTCCTTGGAGTTTTGACATTACTCCTACTCAGCATACTTTACTTTCAATGTTCACCGGTTCCGTGTTAAGTGACCCCAACGCGACAAACTAATTCAAAAAGCCCTTTCAGTTCATTCAAACAAGAATACACCATATTCCATAAACTCTTAAAAGAAAAAAGTTCACAGCATCGTAGAAAAAAAGAGGTTCCCGACGAAAAAAATGTGAAAAGAAAACGAAAACAAAAAGCTGGTAAAGAACAAAAAGTTTCAATTCTCAACAGTATAAAGGTTGCAGCAAAGAAACTGAGTAAAACAATATTGAACGTACGACGATGGAAGAGTGGAGCTTGAATGGATGCTTCTAATCACACTTCAACCTTTGAACACATAATTCAGAATTGACGTGAGAGTAAGAGCCCTATTTTCTCGCTCGCCGCGTTTCATTATATAGATTTGGGCTTCGTAAGATTTCTCACGCCCTGTCATACTTGGGCTTGGACTGCGAAACCCAGATGGCCCACGATATGGGCCCTAATAGAAAAGGGAACTGTGGCCCCTTCAATAAAACACAAAGAGAACATTATACTACAGTCACGCCGGCCGGTCCAAGTGGCATCGAAACAAAAAATTATTAAAAACTTAAAAAAAAAAAAAAAAAGAAAAAAAATTATCAAATAAGAGATGAGATTTACTAATTTTTTACCTTTTCTTTTCTCTTTCTTTCGAATTTTGTGCCTGGTAAATTTAATTTTATTCTAGTGCAGGGACCAGTGAGCTGGTGAAATGATGTGCTAAGAAGTTAAAAGAAAAAGAATATAAAAAAGTAATAATAAAAATTAAAATAGTTTTAGATTCTACTATCTCTTTCACTTATCAATTTAACAAAATTTAATTATATTTAGATTCGATATAAAGTGCAGCATGCAAAAAGATTGAGATGTACATTGAATAGTACTTTCTTTTGTTCTCTTGGTTTGTTCTTTGTCTATATAGACAAAGAAAGAACACTTGCTAAAGACTTGAAGATATTAATATTTTATGGACATTGTCTCTATATTTATTTTGATCATCAATGTTTTAAGGGCTCATTGTGACCTTCGCAGTCTTGTTGCAATGTGGTGTGGGTCCATCAACCTAGCTGTGACCTAGAAACTCGAGGAAAGCAAATTTTACTCAACATTCCTGTTCTTAATTCCTTAGTTTGCCACTTCCCTCGATAATTATTAGTGTCCATACCTTCTCTAACTTCATCAACTTTTAAAGTATCCTAATGAAGTGCAAGTGTTGTTTTGTTTCTCTTCCTCTTGATAATTTGATTTTTGTTTATTGTTTATAAAGTTCAAAACTTTCACTCTTCATATTAGTTTTATTCAATTATAACAAGATTAATTATCTCTAATAAAAATACATGTAATCTGTGATACCCTAAACACATTTATACAAGACAGAAAAGAAACTAGAATGAATGCCTCAAAAATTAATGCGTTTGCAGGATTTTGCATTTTTCTAGTAACATCTAAATTTTTATTATTTTTATTATTATTATTACTATTATTATATTGAAAGAAAATATCCAGATACATAAGTAAAAAAATTTAAAAGTTATTCTTTATTATTTATTTTTTAAATATAATAATATAAAATATTTTTTTACTATTATGTTAAAAAATTAATAAAACGATGAATAATATCTAATAATTTAAAATAAATAAATTATTTCTCTTTATAACAATCTTATTTATTATTGTTTATATAAATATAGAAAAATGTGTTAGGATGAAGCGCTTACTAATCGAACTCATGACCATGACTCGATACCAATTGTCAGGATCGAACGCTTACCACTAAGCCAAAAGTGATAACTATTAATCGAAGCCGCAACTCTTTTACTTTAACAACCTAAACGTCACGATTCAATTGTGACTTCACCACTTGACCTTCGTCACAGGACAATTGATATTACCTGCAACAAAATGCAATTAAGCAGTATTTTAAAAAATATAATACTAATATTTTTCGTACATAACATGTAAGTAAATTAACTTTCTAATCATCGTTAAAAAAGTTTAAAAGTATATTACTAATATTTTTCCTACATAACATGTAAGTAAATTAATTTTCTAGTCATCGTTAAAAAAGTTTTTAACTTAATTTTATGTGTTATAATAATTTATAGATGGATGATTTTAAGTGTCACATAAAAAAATAATATTTTTATTTATTTTTTAACTATTAAAAATATTAATATATTATTAATATATATATATATATATATTAATTTAATTAAAATAAAAGTTTGAAGTTGTAAAACAATAAAAGTAAGTGTCACACCAAAGGAGACTACTAAAGCAACAAACAATCAGCTTTATAAATATTAAATTACCAAGAAAAATGATAAATAATGTTACAAAAGTTAAAGAAACAGGTCAAATGGGTGTTATTTATTTAAAGAGTTATCATGTAAATATTATTTATTTATAAATTATAATTCTAATAATAATCTTTTTAACGGTAATGACTAGAAAATTAGTGGAGTAATTCATAATATATGAAAACTAAATAAAAATATATTTTTTATCTTATATTTTTATAATTTAATGATAAAACATTATTAATAATAAGTAAATATTTAATATATCTATTCTCTTGTGCTACATATCATCTTTGTTTTGTTTTCTTTGGGCATGCAGAGGGACAGTGTCCCTAAAATCTTAATTTGATTTTATATTAAGAAAGGGTAGACACTATTTTCCCCACCCTCCCTAGTCCTAAAATAAGGTGGGTTGCTTTGTTTTGACTTTGAAGGACGGAGTTTGATGCTGAATTGAATGTCCACTGCACATTCATTTATTATCTTCTTGAAATTGGGGAACCATAAATCTCCAACCATCTTTCATTTCCTTTTTTATTTATTTATTTTATTATAGTAAAATATTTAAATAAAATATAAATTATTTAAAATAAGTTTTATTGGTAAAATTTTATGTATTGTGACAGATTGTTTAAATTTTGCTATAATTATTTTATTAAGTAATTTATAAAAATAAATAAACAAAAGGATAATAAGAATTTTTTTAATTTAATTTTTTTTATTAAAATTAAATAAAAAATAAGTTATTTAAGAAAGATATAGAGTAATAAATCTATATTTTATATTTTTTTAAGATAAAAAAAATTTATGAATTGTGCTGCCTAAAATCATCATTTTATTATATATTTGTTAAAATGATTAATTAAAAAAATACAAAAAAAAAACAAATTATAATAATATAAAAAAATAATTCAAACATTACAAGTTTTTGAAAAATGTTATTTGTTATCTATTGACTTTCCTTGGACTTAAGATCTTAATGAGGCATTTGTCCCTTAATATGTTTTTTGTAGAGAAATCATTTACACAAAAAATAGAACTGTTCCTTTGAAAAGTCATGGAATACGTACAAACACACCCTTAATTTGTCTATTAACTAACATAATTAGATTTTATTTTTAATTTATTTTCTAAGATAATTTAGTATATAAATTAAAAGATAAAAAATCACAATTATATAAATTAAATGAATAATGATCTTACTTTATAGTCACACATAAAGCGGTTTTTCTTACTTAGTTACCATACAAATATATGATAATATTGTAAACAAACAAACAAAAATTATCTTTCTAAATTTTAAAAAAATGCGCAAATATAAAATTGGTTAAATATACTTTTTGTTTGCATATAAAATAAGCAGAAGTGGATTTTTTTTTAATTATTTTACATCTGTCAGAATATGTTTTTGTTTATTGTATTACTACTATTCTATAACATTTATTAACCTTTTAGTTGTATAATGAAAAGTTGATAACCACATTATTATTATTATTATTATTATTATTATTATTATAACGATTATTTAATACATGTTTGGTGCTTTTAGATATTTTTAGATATTAATTGTCCAAAAATATTAATTAATTAGAGTTTTTTTGTTATAAAAAAATTTGAAAAAATAAAATAAAAAGATTTGATGTATTTTGTAAATGTTTTTTAGTTAAAGTGAAAACATACCAAGACTTGACATTTAAGGGAGAAAAGGAGAATTAAAGCAATAAACAAAAGATGAATTTGTGAGATTTTAGTATTAAGTAACCAAAGTGTAGACTAAAAACTCAATTATTTAGTAACTTATAACATTTGTACTTGTAAATAATAACACATAGGTTGACCTAACTTTTTACATGCAATAAAAGATTTTAAATTATCATAATAACCATTACAAAAAATTCTTCTTATTCTTTATATGTATTCACCTATTAAAAATTGCTTTCTAAAATACACGAGTTTAAATTTGATTATCCAAGTTTTTATCTTAGACCAATCACCTTTTATTTGTTTATAAATTGAAAATTGTATAAGTTTAAATACATTAAATTTTTACTTATATTTATAATTACCTTAAAATAGTTTGTTTTGATTTTAAAAAAATATTTAGATCCTGTATTTTCAAAAGATTATTACAAACTTATTTTTAATTTTTATCATGTGACATCTATTAATTGTGTATAATTTTAGTAAAAGGTTGAACAATTATCCCGAGTAATATTTATTAGAAACTAAAGTGAAAATATTAACATGTGATACCTTAAGAAAAAAATTGTGGATCTAAAACGAAATTTTACTTATCTACCTTAAATTGATGTTTGAGACTTAAAAATAAGTGGTATCAAATGTTGAAAACAAAAATTATAAATATCAAACTAAAATTTGTTTATCGACCTAAAACGATATTTTATATATTGCAGAGAGATATTAAAAAAATACATCTCTTTTACTAGAATTGATACATATTAAATTTATATTATATGTATATATATATTTTTATTTTTTTTACGTGTCTTGTCAGATTAGCGATATATATTATCCGTTATATATAAATTGTATCAATATTTATCATTTAAAAATATTATTATCATAAAAATATTATTATCTTTAATTATAAATAAAATTTGATATTAATGTAATTATATTATTAAAATATAAAAATAGTTTTAATTTATATAATTAATTTTGAAGGAATAACAAATATAAAACTAATTAGATCAATAAAGATTAAATATTTAATTGCATATAAAAAATAAAATATCTATTACTAATAACAATAATTAAACTACATGAAAGAAAAACTAAAATGTCACGTAGTGGTAATACTGAAGATTAATCTAACGCTTTTTCTTTTCTTTTTGCAAAAGATACTGAATGCAATCTGGTTTTGTTATTTTTGGCTAATCTACCCTGTTCTGTTGTTCCTTTCTTGCTCGCACATCTATAGCTAATGTCTTCATCTGTTCATGTTACAATAAAAATTGTATGCTAAAATCAAAATAAAACAAAGAAAACAATGGAAGATGGAGTGAAGTGCTTGGAAAAATAGATAGATTAATCAAATATTACGTACGAACAGGAAATGGTTTTCGATCAGATTCATAGATAGTTCATAGGTTATTCCGAGAAACACGCCAACAAGAAAGACATCAGAGTGGTGAGTGCTTCATACAATTGGAAACCTCTGAAATTGTCTCCGTCTGCGTCACTGCTGCATCAATGGAATCATCAGTGAAATGCCCAAAACCAGACACCGTCATCATCTGATTAGAGTAGTTTCTTCAGAGCGATTCGTGTCTTCAAAATCATTGCTTGCGGTTGGTGGCTTTCTGGGTTGTTTAATTGGTTTCTTCCACAACGGTAGAGAGAAAAAGAGAGAGAGAGAGAGAGAGAGAGAGAGAGAGAGGAAGAAAGAGTTTGGAAGAAGATAGAGAGACATACTGAGAAGGGGGTCCTACTGCTTAATTTTTGAGGGGCATCAACAGTCCCTGTCAATGATTTTTACTTGGGTTGGGTGGTGCTGCTGTGTTGCCTCTCTCACTCTCAAATGGTCCATCCAATCAGCATCAGTATCACACTCTTTTCTTTCTCACCAATTTGATCAATAAACCGAAACTTCTCTTCTTATTTGCCCCTTTCACCCTCTCTCTCTTTGGTTCTTTTTCATCACAAGGAGGATTTCAAATTGGTCGTTGAGGGTGGCTCAAAAGCTCTGCCTCTGGTCAAAAGGGACAAGTGGATCTCACTCATATGAAGAGACTTTCAACTGTGAGTGAGTCTGTGCTTATTTTTGGTTGTTGCTTTTTATTACCCCCACTTTTCCCCTTGAGAAGTCTCAATCCAATATTTCTTTTTGGTTTCCACTGTCAAGCTTAGGAGTAGTGGATGCAGTAGTAAGATCTAAAGGCAAATTTTTTTGCACAGATCAAGAACGCCAGCATTCATGGGATTCTCCGTTGTTTACCGTAGTGTAATTTAATCTGTGCTACTTGTTATCCCTCATGCTTGAAGAGGTGGCCAATGAGAAATGATTGGTCTTTGGTTTTCTAATTTTCCCTGTTACTTTTCTGGTATTTGAAAACATCTTCTTGTTTATTAACTGTTTGCCGAAATGTGGCTGGCTGATCTGAGTAGATTTTGAACTCATCAATTGAAATTCTTCAACTGGTCGTATATAGTTCTTTAATTTCACAATATTGATACTTGCTAAGATACATTTTGAACTGCTCTTGTAGCAACTGAGGAAGCATGTAATGTAACTACTGCTTAAATGTTTTATAAAAATTGATATTTTCTGCAACGAGGACGCTTCTAATGATGGTGACATGTTTCTCATGCAGTTGGTGGATGTGTTTCTGGTTCTTGCATTGTTCAGTTGTAGCCCATGGACTGTGTGGGGCAGCTCTTACTGCAATCGGATAAACTTGAAGGAAGTGCGGCCTCACAGTGTCAGTATTACCGAATTTGGGGCAGTTGGCGATGGGATCACTCTCAATACAAAAGCATTTCAGAATGCCATCTTCTACCTAAATTCATTTGCAGACAAAGGTGGAGCCAAGCTTTTTGTTCCCGCTGGCCGGTGGTTAACTGGAAGCTTTGATCTCATCAGCCATCTAACATTGTGGTTGGACAGTGATGCAGTAATTCTTGGATCAACGGTAATCTGTTGTAAATAATATAGTGAAATCAAGGAAAAGGAAGATTAGCATATCTGCCAAATGTGTTTGTTTTGCTGGCTTGTCTGCAATGTAATTATGTAATTATGAAACAGCACACTGTAACTTTCAGCATAGACATAGTTTTCCTTAGTTATGTTTCTTTCTTAAGCATATTAATCAATTTGAAAGTGTTTTATTAGTTAATTAGAAATAGATACTTCCTGAGCTATACATGTGTTGATTTACAATGCAATGTTTTTTACTATTTAATTTTTGGCTTAAGAAAACAATCAATGTTTGTATTTTATATGCTGTCTTAAGTCTAAAAAATCTGGTAGCTCAATCAGTTGACCTGGCTGTCTCATTTATTACATGTACCGTGTGAAATAAATGCTATATCATGCTTGTTACAGAACTCTGACGACTGGCCAGTTGTGGAGCCTCTACCATCATATGGTCGAGGAAGGGAGTTGCCCGGTGGAAGGCATAGAAGCCTCATTTATGGGCGTAATTTGACTGATGTTGTAATAACAGGTTGATAATACCCTTTTCACCTTTATCTCCCTCTTCGTTTTATACCGATACCTATGTATTATTTTTTATCCATTCATGCATATCTATCTCTTCCCTCCCAAGGTGTATGCACATGCAATGGGTGAGAAAAACCAATCTTTTTGTATCTTGTTTATTGATGCCATTGGTATCCCAATGAAGGTAACAATGGAACTATAGATGGTCAAGGGAGTATCTGGTGGGACAAGTTTCGGAACAAAACATTGGATTATACACGTCCTCATTTGGTCGAGTTGATGAATTCAACCGGGGTTCTCATCTCAAACGTAACTTTCTTGAACTCACCATTTTGGACCGTTCACCCCGTATATTGCAGGTTTGTTCCTCAAAGAAGGATTAATTTATATTCCTTTCTTGTTTACTGAACGTCATGCACTTAAATTACTATATTAAATTTATGCAATAGTGAAGCTTCCATGATTAGGGGGAGATTTGAAACTGTTTTTCTGGATGAACAGCCATGTTACAATTCATAATGTCACCATCATTGCTCCTCTTAGTTCACCAAATACAGATGGAATTAATCCAGGTGAGTTTTTTCTTCCTTAGCTGCAAAGTTATACACTGTGCAAACAAATAGTATTCTAGATTGATTTCAACAACCCAATGTTCTTTCAATCCCGTGTTAGTGTGATATGGAGTTCTTGTCATGAATATTCATCACCTAGTGGGCTTCGGCTGTTGTTGATGTGTTGGTAGTGGTGCTTTACATTCATAGAAGTAAAGTTACGTATATCCTACAACAATAGTTTCTTTTTTCTTTTCCAGGTTAACACCCTCTAATTAGCACTTAAAAAACTGCACCAGTGTCCTTAACAATTTTCTTTCGAAACACTCATCATATTCTCATATATACCTTCTAATTGTGTCCAGATTCTTCAGACAATGTATGCATTGAAGACTGTTATATAAGCACTGGTGATGATCTGATTTCCATCAAAAGTGGATGGGATGGATATGGCATTTCATTTGGTCGACCCAGTACAAATATTAACATTCGGAGGCTCACTGGGAAAACAACGAGTGCAGGGATTGCTATCGGAAGTGAGATGTCTGGAGGTGTATCAGAAGTTCATGCAGAAGATATTTACATTTTTGATTCACATAGTGCAATTAGAATAAAAACTTCCCCTGGCAGGGGTGGTTATGTTAGAAATGTCTACATCTCTAACGTGATCTTGGCTAATGTAGATATTGCTATTAGGTTCACTGGTTTATATGGAGAACATCCAGATGACAATTATGACCCAGATGCTCTTCCAGTAATTGAAAGGATTACTATCACGGATGTGATAGGGGGAAAAGTCAAACGTGCGGGCCTTATACAGGGTATTAAAGGTGACAACTTCGTCAATATTTGCCTATCAAACATCACACTTAATGTGACCTCAAAATTGCCATGGAACTGCTCTTACGTTAAAGGATACTCTGACCTGGTTTCACCGGAAGCTTGTGAGCCTCTCAATGAGCGAATATCCCCTGAGCATTGTTCTGACTGTTGCTATTCACCAAACCACTTAAAGAGTTTGGGTAATCAAAACCGGGTTGCTTGGGTTTAGAACATCACGCTACCAAAGTCTCAATAGCTGAAATTTGATTGGTGAGTTTTTTCAACAAGACGAATTTTACCTGCACAAGTTGAATGGTGTTGCTGATCTGCGGTTGTCTCTGTCTGCAGAATGACAACGAGAGATGATTGTTTCTTGTAACTTGTGTGCAGTAACAAATAATTGAGTGATTTATCAGAAATTGAATTTGAATGATTTCATGTCATGCTTTCCTAGCTACTTATTATTTTTGAAAAGTAAAATGAAAATTTTGTATCCATTTTGCTTCCTCGAGTTAGCATATCCATATATAATCTTGGGATTCAACAAGCTAACCTTTCCATCAAGGGAAAAATAAACCCTAAATCTTGGAATCTTGTTTGGCAGAAAGGTAAAACGTGATTGCAACAACAATAGTGTTTTGCAGAAAACTAGTATAAATCTTTCTGTAAAATAACTTTGGAACAACAACAATAATGGATAGCTGAGAGAAAAGCATGATTGCATTGCCTTTATATGGAAAATTAACAAAACAAATGAGCCATACTTACAGGTACATACATTGGCTAGCTGGAACTGTACCATGTATAACTTAAACAGGAATCCATCTTACATAAAGATTAACCATCCCAGGTATAAATCATAAGGAATCAATGATATATAGAAAATGGATATGGAGAATGGACATATCAACAGCTCTTTCTCTAAGGATGAGAATCTCAATTTCTAAGATACAAGGCTTCTTGGGGATGCCTCGCTATCATCTTTGCTGATAACTGAACATAGAACCTGCCTTGAAATATGTGTTTCGAGCTCCCTGGACACATCTGTTAATTTCAAGTCGAAACTGCTTCTATATTTGTGATGTGGAGATGCTATCAAGCTGCTACAAAACATCGTAGATGATGAGCCAGCAGAAAATCTCCTTCTCGGGCTTGTGAACTTTCCTGGTGATCCAGTAAGTCTCCCTTTCGCTGTAAAAGATGTTGAGCAAAAATCCTCAGTGTCACCAGTTTTATCAGCATTCATCAATGGTCCGCATTTTGTTTCCAATGGAAGAGGTTTTAACGAGTTATGTTCCCCCGTTGGCTTTTCTTTCGAAAGCTTTTCCCTGGCCTTCTCAGCTGCCAGTAGGGCTTTTTCCCTGGTCAACTTTATGAGTTTCCATGGGTTAATGCTCACATGGAACTTCTTTGTCTTGATCAAGGGGGAAGGTTCAGTTTCTCCTTCAATCCTGATTGACAACCTAGGTGAGCTCTGAAGGTCAAAACAATCCTCCCTGTTAGTTTCGAATCAGAATCACGGCATAAAATGAAACAATCTATTTATCTCATTCTTACCTGGTTTCCTTTGCATAGAAACTTGGACATCAGTGTCGGCTTTTCGGGCGAGTCAAAATCGAAGCTCTCCTCTGAAGAGAAATCAGAATCATCTAATGATTCCAATTCCATGGCTTCATTCTCTTCTCTCATGGCTAGAATATAGTCATAGGTTCTCATTCCCTTCATTAATAACAGACACAACAGGATTCAATAGCAACCAACAATCCAATAAAAGCACATAGCTAGGAATTGATGACAAAGTACTTTCGAAAACTGATTATTGAAGTAAGTATTATCTTCTAAACACTTCGGCACACTAATTTAATAACATCTGGAATTGTTTTAAATATCAAATATGCTAACATATGAAGATTGATCGTTTCAAAAACAAGAAAGAAAACTACCTTTCGTATAAGAACCACATGAAAGAAGAAAAGCTGCCCTAACGCTGCTGAACTATAAGCTGTCAATAAGAGAAGCAAGACCTGCAGCATTCCATAAAGTTGGATGCAAATAAAAAATGATGTTAAATTTTAAACTACAGGCTGGAGCAGAATACAGAAATGTAAAAAAATAAACTAAATGATTTAGAGAACTCTTACACATATGGCGGCAAGAACTCCACTTGGAAATTCTATATAAAGTTTCTTCTGAAGCTCCTTTTCTATTCCCCTTTTATCAGCAAAACACCTGATAAATATAGCAATCGCAGTTCCTCCTTCAATCAAGAGCTGAAACATAAACAAACAATGTTCGACATGACTGAAGTAACCTAATTCAAACACTAGTTATTTTCGTTACTAAAATTGAAATAGTCTATACACTTGTGAGTACTCACCATTAAAAGCACGAAAATCATGAGAAGAAAGAAGGTTGTGTAGTTCTTTTTTCCAACACAGTTATTCAGCCACTGGAAACAAGCGATAGCAGATAAATTTACATCTTAATAATCAAAGAGGAGAAGAAATCCATAAATTAGAAATGCAGAACATAGTACCTACCCTGCAATGGTGATCAAACCCTTCAACACAGCGATTGCAAGTCCTGCAGTGCTTACTATGCTTTTTCACCTGATTCAGAGGAGAGTTAGATTTGACAGGGTAAGATAATGATTTGTTTCTATATCTCAATACGCATTTATATATGGAAAAACAAGAAAGTATAATGAATTAAATGAGATAGTGGTGTGTATGACTTATATTAGTTAAATTAGCTTCTATATAGTATTTGTTAAATCTCAACATAGAAACATTCTTGACTGTCATTAATTAACTTATACATACGTACGTGTGAGTGTTTTTTTCCGATCAAATAGAATCCAATTGATATTGCTTAGATAACTGCAATAAATTACCTTATAAATATAATTAAACTAATTTCAGCTTATTTCATTTATTTTTTTCTTATTTTCTTCTCCCTACATGGTTTATCGAAAGGTTTATCCCAACAAGCTAGAGTAATCGAAGAACCTCAAAATCACAAAGTGCACAAAACGAGATGTCATCCTCTTTGAGATTAGGGGCAATGGCATCATCATCGTCCTTCATGACAAGGGGGAATGGCAAGAGAGGCTCCATTTGTGGACTTATCTTCAAGGGATCAAGGTACTTCCTCTTAATGAACGTCCTCAGCAACTTCCTCTCCACCCTCCTGAAAAACCTCATCACAATCTGCCCAAGAATGAACCCGTAATTCAGCTTCGGAATCGCATTCGACGTCCCTCTCTTCTTCTTCTTCTTCTTCCGGAAGCTGGTCCTGTCCGTGGGGTCGATCGCGGTGCACCTCACGAACAGAAACATTACGGAAATAGCCTGCGCAAAACACATGACGGTGTCACAGAAACCGAACAGAGTCGAGACTGAAAACAAAAAAGACGTACCACGAAGGAAAACGTGAGGGTGAGTGTTAACTCGGCGGTTCGGTTTCCAAGGAAAAGTCCGAGGAAGGTGTAGAAACACACTACCAGGAAAGCGTACACTGCCGCGCCCACAAACTGTACTCACAAAATAGAAACTCAATGAATGTGATCCGTGCTTAGATTTTGATATTTGATTCTAAAAATGGAAAATGTTGAGAACTGGAAAATACCTGCAAGGGGTGGAGAGGGCGTTGCCAGCCATGGCGTCTCATGGTATAGAGTAGCAATGAAACGTAGATTTGATTTGAGAAGATGGAGAGAGAGAGAGAGAGAGAGAGAGAGGTGTTAGAGATGCAAGTTTCAATTCGACTCACCTCAACGGTCAAGTCCTTGTTTTCAAAATTGAACTCAACCGGGCTCCATTGGATGCCCTTTTTCTTCATCCAACGGACACCAATACCACCTCTCTCTCTCTCTGCCTTCTCCCGAAGAATACAATTTGTGGGACCTATTCGATCCAGTTTCAGGCCTTATCTTTATGGGCCGGCTCGACTCCTCATTCAGCAAAATTGCCGGGCCTGTATTTCATCCAACCTTCAAAGTGAGTCACTTCCTTCCTGCACCCACATACTTTGTAGATGCACTTTATATATTTTGAGAAAATAATCTTACCCCTGCGAGTTTTATTTGATTGAAAGGTAAAATAGATTCCGGAATAATTGTTTTAAGGATTTACATAATTCATAATCCAGACATGGAATCTGGAATAAATAATCTGATTTTTTTTTAATGATTTCATATTAAATAATCTGGAACATATATTTTTTCTTTTTAAATTCAAGATTGAGCAAACCAAAACCTAGAATTCATTTTTTTTAAGTTTTGGATTAAGTAATTTAATAGATACAACTTTTTTAAGTTTGAGGTTAAGTAATCAGAACATGCTTGATTTCAAGTGTGGAGACGATGCATGTCTATATTCTTCTGCATTTTTTATCAACCTTCTCTTTTCTTCAATACAAGAAAATTAGTGTTTAGAAATAAATAATAGCGTCGGTCTAAAATAAAATATAAAATAATGTCTATGCCAGTTAGAATGACACTATTAAAAAAAATTAAAGATAAAAATATTAAATATGTGCATCGGTTAGGTAGACACTATAATAAAAATATATCGTAAGTTAATTTACATAAAATTGAAAAAAGAAAATTATAACTTAAATATATTATACGTGTGGATTGGCTATATCAACACTAATAAATTAATATTAATATTAATTAAATATATTAAAACTTTGTATCTCGACGCTATATAATATTAAATTTTGCGTTCGTGCTATTTTATTCAATTTTTTAGAAAAATGATATTTTGACAACCTAAATCCGTACAACTCCTATAAACAATTCTATTTTAATATTATAGTAATAATTTTAATTTATTTTTATTAAATCGATAGATTATTATATTAATATTGAATATTATATTAATAAAAGTGAGTTGTTTAAGAGTTGTATGGTTTCTAGTTGTCAAAATATTACCACTCAATTTTTTAATACTTATGTTTTTTGTCTGTAAACTGATATTATAAATTTAATTTTTTAAAATAAAATAAAATAACATAAAATAATTTTTTTATAAACTAAAATTGATTTATTTATAAGTTATTTATAAAAAAATTTAATATTAACTTTTCATTTAAGGTTAAGTTATTGATAAATTAGTTTAAATTTATGTAAAAGAATATTTCTTATCATTTGTAATTGTTTTTAAAAGTTGTAATTATTTTTCTAAACAATTAATTTTTAATTTCATCTTCTTCTCTTTTATTTTTATTTTATTTTTTATATTTCTTTGTTCAAATATTTAATAAATATCTTGCACTATCTCCAAAATAAAAAATATTATTAAAATATGTTGATTATGAAATTAAATTTCAATCAAATTGATAATAAAATTTAACATAACCACTTAAAAACAAAGTCTAAAATTCTTTTTAATTATTAGTTATTTTTTAAATTAAATTTAGAAAAAGATAAATAAAGAAAAAAAGGAAACTTAAGTAGTGAGAATTGTCAAACAAAACCCTAATAACTAATAAAAGTGATTTCTGAGTAAAAGTGAATCCACATTAAAAATGACATTATTTTTAACAATGTGCTAATTTTAGCTCATCAACCTATTTTAATATGTGTGGTTTAGTTTGTCAAATTGATAAGATGGTGTCTTATCTTATTTTGAGAATGTTAAAAGTGAGCATATTAAAATAGGGTTGGATCCGTTTTCTCATCCTTAAATCTAGGTTCTGGTACTCTTCACTGCTGTCATCCTCCAATGTATCACACTCCACCAAACTCCGCTATTCTCCATCACACTCCACTCTACTCCAACACGCTCCATCACTGGTTCAAGCTCGTTGTCATTCTCTTTAAAGATGTTAATTTTGATATCATACTCATCAATCAGTGCACAAAGTCGAACTTTACTTATAAGATTAGTTTCTTTATATTTTATCTTGACAAGTTTATGATCTTAGTTGAATGAAAATACATAGGATACTTAGCTATTGGTCTCTCTCGATTTTGATTTTCTATTGCAATTTTGTTAGGATTTGTTGTCGCAATCGTTTTCCTTACTAGTGAATTGGTTTCTTTTGGTTTTAATTTTCAATTGCATTTTGGTAGGGTTTTCAGGTGTAACTGGTTGAGCTTTCTTGCTGCCAAATAAAAATTTAAACATTGTATTTATTGATGAAACTATTTGGATAAACTAAAATGTTTAGAAAAGTGATTTTACTTTAAAAGTAAATACGGTTTTTAGTTGAGGTTGGTGGTTTCTTGATATTGTGAAATTACAAACAATTTTGAATGTTTTGTTGAGATGGTTCAGATTGATAGTGTGACTAGCTTCTTAACTATGAAAAATTATAGTTATTCTCAAAAGTTTCATGATATTATTTTAAAATAACACCTGTTCTTTTTTTCTATCTTGGTTTAACATTTATATCTGTGTATAAACAGGATATATTTTTTTCTTTGATAACATGCATATAACTTTTCATATGTTAATAATTTTTTAATTCAATGTTAGATATATCGTTAAGCCAACTAAAAAAAAAAAGCAAATTGATATGGGATATGTATTAAGTATCATGTTTATGACATCGGGAAATTACAATTCAAGGTGTTGATGTAGAAAAATGCAAATTTAGAAAAAAAAATGATATTAGAAGTAAATGTTCAAATGTTGAAAGATAGAACTGGTGTCTTGAGACATCAAACACCTATTGTGAACCAAAGTATTTCTGAGATATTGAATGAATGTATTCTTTTGATTTGATTGATATAGAGATTCTTAAGTAATGTTCTAGAAATAAGAAAACTAAATAAATATTTAAAAAATTGTATAATTTGTATTAAAAGGGTGTATAATGGATAACAAAAATACTATGTATTTTTTTTAATAATTATGTTCTTATAACATGTTTAATTAATATAAACTCATATTATTATTCGTTTGGTGATGTACGGTGTTTAATATCACAATGTGAATATTGAAATTTGGGTTAATACATGAAAAATGCCATGTATATGTGAATGCGAAACTTGGTGCATGGAATGGAAACTCAAACTACAGATCAATCATAATATACTACCATTAAATTAGAAGTTTTTATTTTACAGAAATTAGAAGGGTTTACTTGTATTTTCTGGTTTCTATATTTCAATGTATTTGTGATTTTAGTTACTCATATTTAAATTTTATAATTTTCTATTTAAATTTAGTTTCTCAATTTCATCCAGAAGTATGAAGGTGAAATGTATTGTTGATTTGTATAACTTAGTAAAAAAAAGTGTGAAATGTATTTAAATAAAATATAAAATGTAATATTATTTTGTTTTAATTTTTATGCATTTTGTTTTATAATAAAAAAATGAAATATTTTATATTATTAATAACTAAATTGATAACATTTCCACATTTAAAAGATCAAATCAATTATTTTATCATGACACGTTGATGTTAATTCACACTTGTAACATCTTATAAAAAAAAAGTGAGTATTCTTTTTGATTTCTATATATATACCATATAGCTAATTAACATATTTTGCTTCGAAGAAACATATTGTAAAAATTAAACCTTTGTTTTTTTCTCTCATATATCATCAGTATAAAGCCTAAAATGTAGACGCTTGGGGTATCAACTGGGGTTCACGTGAGTTCCGGAAGCCTTATTATTGTACGTGAAACTTAATTTTGCAGGTTCATATCATATATATGTATAATGCTTCAAAAGCAAACATATAAGCAAAATATCCTTAATTTCATTTCATAAAGTTTTAAGACCCTCCTGAATTTCTCTTCTTTTGTTCATTTCCCTTGAATTTACATTTATGTTTCCACAATCTAACCAAATCTTCCACATGTTAGGTAGCAAGACAAAATGGCCATTATGCTTATTCTCATTTTGCAACATACTCCTAATCATGGTTTTACTATATTCAACATTAATTCAACACTTTTTTTTCTCTCGTGACGCTTTGCTAGGAAGAAATAACTTCTTCCTTCCCCATACAATTTCTCTCCTGAAAAAAAAAAAAAAAAAAAACTATGTTCCCATATTCCCATTGTATGCATAGAAATAATCTGCATTGTCATATAAAGTAAGCTACAATATATGTATACAAGCAGCTGGTGACCCGATAAGTGGTGCATGCATATGATTATGGAGAAAATTAAGTGGATCCAGGCAACATAGATGTCCCATTAAGGGCAAGAACACTTCCACCATTGCTACTGTTGTTATTATTTCCATCATTGCCTCTAGTAGCTCCAATAATTGACGAGATAGCTGCTGCTAATGCTACAGTGAAATTTGGATTCGAAGCAATAGCTGCACTCATCGTATCTGTGATAAACGAAGGTTGCCTTTGCCCTAGTGTATGTTCCACCTTGTGAGGGAAGATGACAGGGTGTCCTAGTAGCTGAGGGAAAGTAGTTGCATGCAAGGGAAGAGGGGACGTGAGAGCAGAAGAGGGGTCCCGGTGCAGTTGCATAGGGTTGGTGGTCATGTCAAGGGTGATAGTGGGAAATGGTGCAGAGGTTGAGAGGGTTGCCATTGAGATGTAGGGCATGGAAGAGAATACCCCTACAGTGTTGCTTAGTGCTTCGTTACTAGTTGTTGAACCTGAAGAAGATAAGAACATAGCTGCAGCTGCTGAGGTAGAATTGGCCATGACCGTGGCTGAAGGTGGAAGAGGGTGGTTATGATTGCCTTCGTAAGTTGTTATCAACACAGTCTTGTCCTCTGTGCATCTTTGCACCTGTACAACCATATACCATGTCATGCATTAAAAATATCAATCCATCAAAAAAGAATGAAACTTTAGGAAAATTGGCAAATCCAACAGTACTTCGAATAGTTCATTTGCATAATGCAACTATAATAGGCATGAGGACAAGGATTATCCATGATGAAAATTATTTACCTGCTTACGAACTGGACATCCTACTGCCATGGTGCAACGATAATAGGCACGAGGACAAGGATTACCCTTGGATATTTTCTGCCCATATTTCCTCCATTGACATCCATCGCAAATCTGAACACTCACATTTATTAGATACATACATACACACACACACACACACACACACACATATATATATAAATAGATGCAGGTAAGTAGGTTTAGCAGGGGTATTTAAATTTAATTAGCTAGCCAAAAATGCAGTAATAATATAGATTAGGACAGCCATAATTAACTTAATTATTACCATAGGAGCTTCTGATATTGCACGCACAGAAACTCTGGCTCTTCTGAAAGGAAGCTCACTGGCCTTAGATTCTTCAATCTTGGGACTCTTGGATGATCCCAAACTCTGTGAGGACGATTGTTCAAGAGCATCTTCTGCATGATCAGGACGAGCCTGCTTTCCAATATTAAGTTAGTCAAATGATGACATTTTTTAATACCTTTGAATTGTTTGAGAAAAATTAAAAATTAGTACCTCTAGACCAGATTTATCATCCGAGACTGATGCAACAACAACTTTACCGTCTAATTTGGTGCATGGTTGTGGGTCCAATAAATGTTGACCAGACATCATCTCATTTTTCTCCACATTCTGTTCCATACATTCATATAAGTTCAGTGCTTTGATATTAACTTTATGTATATGTTTGTATGTAAATTTTGACATAATAGTTTTGATCGGCAAAATCCGGCAGTTAATTAAGATACTTTATAGTTTGTACTGAGTTTATAGTATATTGAGCGAATGACTTTAATAAATTCTATTTATATATATATTATTTATTTTAAAATGATTATCACTTTAAATACTTAAATTTATTTTAAATGATTTTTCATGGGAATTTATTAAATGAAATGAATCTGGGCATGTTCATGAAAATAAAATGGCATATTTGCACACTTCATATGTGTAATTATTTTTGTGACAGTATTCTTTACAATTTCTATGTAAATAAAGTTCTAGTTGATTACTATTGTTTCGGAAGAAAAACTATAACTACATTTAAGTCTTTTTCTTATACACCTATCTTCTGACCAAAGACTCTGGAGTCCATGGAAAGAATAAAAACATAAATGGATTCAATGACTTTAAGGATGGAAATCACGATGATCTTTCCTCATTTTAGATGAATGTCCCAGTTTGAAATTGGTAACACTCTGACAGGTCCGAAAGGATATACAAAGAAAATAGGTGAATTAATAAATAGATTACAAACCATATATGTAATTTGGACTGAGAAAATTGATGGATGATATTATTCATGTTCAATTCACATAAAAAAAACTAGCTACCTTATACGGCTTCTGCTTCTGCAAAGCAATGAAAAATTGTAGCTGGTGGTAGTTTTTGGTGATTTGGTCCAACATAGTTCTCAACTTGTAATTCTCTTCTTGTAGCCTCAGAAACTCTTTTTCGAGTGTATTCGGCTGAAAAGAAAAAAGAGAAATACAAATTGAAACCCAAAACTTAATTTCGGGAGTCTTTCTAATTTTGAGGTGCATATATAAAATATTATGATGCAAACCGGAGATTTAAGATTTTGATCATTTGCTGCTGATCTTGACAGTTCATCACTCAGACCCGGACACGTTAAATTCAGCGTGGTCTATATATTGCACGACATAAAAAAAAAATCAATATTTGGTATTCAGAATCTAAAGTGCATGCATAAATGAAGTACCCAGAAAATTAAATGGACACGTCATTGTGATCCTTTAATGTGAAAACTTACGTTTACGAGCTGATGATGCAGGTTTTCTTTAGGAATGTTTGTGTGGAGATGATGCAGGTTCTCTTGACGAGGGTGGTGGTGGTGGTGGTTAATATTACTATTTGAGTTATCAGTATCACTGTTCTTGAACAGTGAAGATGATGGGAAAAAATCCAGTTCTTTGACCGAAGGATCATCACGCTGTCCGGTGTTGATGGTTGCAGGATCTAGATTTAGATTGGTGGATCTAAGTAAGGTCAATCCAGGACGTTGTTGTTGTTGCATTTGGTGGCGGTTTTCCATTCTCACTCACTCTTACTGATATATGGAGAAAGAGAAAGAGAGTTAGAAACAAAAGAGGGTGGCGAAGAAATGTTTCAACGTGAAGGGTTTATATGTGTGCCACTGCTAGCTACTGCTAGTTTACCCTCAAACTCTATCCTTTCTCCTTTCTAATTCAGACTTGAGAATGAAGGATCCAAAATAAGTATGCATACATCTTCAGAAATATATGAGGGTGACTTTTTGTCTTTTCTGTTGGGAAGAAGAGAGAGATAGAAGATAGAAGAGTCCCATGTGGAAAAAAATGACGAGATTCTCAATTATGATGATCACGATCTTACCACGGAATTTTTTTTTGGTAAATTAAAAGTTTAAATAATATTACATAAACATTATAAAAAATGTCCATAACATGTTTGGTAAGAAGTAAAGACACTTATTGTTTTAGAGTATTTACTGACTTTTTTTTCCTTTTTACTGTATTTCGAAAACAGATATTGTCATTTATTTATCCTATTTTCGTAATGAAAAACGTTCAGTTCACAAGGAAACATCATCCAATAATTGATTATACTAATATTTATTATTATATTAAGTTGTTAATTGAATGTACGGTGTCATCCATTTTCATAATTTTTTTTTTCTAAACATTGGTATGTTCCGATGTTTCAATAATACCGAACAGGTTAATGAATCTTTTGTATGTATTTTTTATAATTTGATGATCTAAATTTGTTAGATAACTTAAAAATATATACTTTCATGTTCAATATCAAAATAAGGATTTGGCACCTCTAAAATAATATTTAAAAAATAAAGTATAGTTAATTTTATATTATTATATTGTAATTTTAAACTACTAATTTTTAGTAAACGATTGCAACTTCACTCTATGCTTTAAGTTAGATACCAAAATCAGAAACTGTTTTTAAAAATATGATGTTTGAAAGAATCTTAAGATGTTAATTGCGCCAGTTTAATGTTTTCTGTTATTTTCGCTTAAATAATTAAAACAAAACTTATATATGTCCTGTACACTGATGACTGATTTTTTTTATTCGTTAAAGACTTAAATATATACTCTCATTCTAAATTTATTAATGAAATTTTGATAATATTATTTATTTTTTTCTCCATTTTAAAATAATAGCTTTTCTATTATTCTTATGTTTCCTTTCAGTGAAATACTTAGAGAATATTATAAAAAATAGTTTATTATTATTTTGTGTTAAAATGGTTATTAGTTTAAAATAGGAAAAGTATCTTGTTTTGTGTGAACCTGCTCTCTTCTTTTGCAGAGATGTCCGAGAAAGATGAGAAGGGAACGTGGGTTTAGTCAGGTCAACCTAGTTGACGGCACCGATAACGGTCGTTAGAAACTATAAGGGGTGGGGCCCCCTTCTAAAAAGACAACCTAATCCCACTACTGTATTGGGATCACCCCCACGTCAACTTCGGTTCATTGCCATCCTTGCTTATCACTAAAGAAAACTTACTTCTCATGTTAAAAAAAAAAAAGTTAGCACCACTGAATTTTATTAATATTGGAATACTTTTTAAAAATGTTTTTTTTATGAAATAATATATATAATTAAATTTAGAATATTTTAAAAAATATCGTTAAATGAAATGAAAATAATTAAAATTTACTTACACTAAAAAAATTGATTTTTTAAAGGAGGTATAGTACTAATGGGGTGAAGCATTGAGTTAATATATATTGATTAATTAAAAAAATCTGAGTTAAATGGTCAAATTGTGGAAAATTAAGTCAATGATTCCATGGTTTTGGACACGTGAGTTGATGTGATAAAAGATATAAAAGGATTCTCTTTGGCACTCTTCCTGGTAAATAATGTTATATATAATCAACAAACCTGTAATGGTATATGGAATTACGTAAATTATGTGAGACAAATGAATTTTTGTATTCTTTTTTAATATGTTAAAGATAATAAGGAGAAATATTTAGAAAAGATTTGTCAATATTTAAATTACTAGGAAAATAAGTAATTAAATGTATATATAAAATATTTGATATGGTTTTAAGTTAAGGCATTAGTTGGAATACGTTGATTACTTGACGTTGTTTTCTAGTCTCAACGCGAGTAGGTACAGTGCAGGAGAGAGAATAATGAACCAAAAGTAGCCCTACATAATAAGAAATTGAACCCAGAGTTGAGGTTCCAATAAGCATATGGGTATCTTGAAGTCAATGCCAGGTTATGTAGGTTTCTTTTATATTCATCTTTCCTTGTCGAAAACTTTGACAAACATGGCATTTCATAGACTACAAATGTTCAAATCATCATCAAGTCGTCATCCTAAGCAGCATAGTTAATTTTTTTCTAGTAATTTTTAAATTGTATTTTTTTAATGTGAACCTGAATAACGCACGCCACCTCTTTTCTTCCAATATTTATTTTGACAGCAACATCTTAATTACGACATTATTGCACCAATAATAGACTATCGAGTGTGATAAAGACAAAAAATTTAAAAAACTTGACAGAAAACTCATGCAGCCGCACCCAATCCACGCTTGCACGTTGCATATTAATTTATAATAGAGCCCAATTAAGAAAAGAAAGAATATTGCGTATGGGTGTATTATGGAATAAAGGTCAGAGGGAGACCCCACTCATGTAATTAACTACAACTTTTGCCCGCACGTTCGGTTCAAAAAGCACCATTTATACTCACAAATTCACAACCAAGCTTCACGTGTGTATTAGTGCCATCACCACCTTCTACTTTTTTTTCCCTACACCACCTCTATATGTAGTTCATTATCTTATAGACTCCTATTATTAAACCATTGATTAGGTTAGAAGAAGAAAACTGCGAACAATTAATCTACCCCAATCTTCGTTCAGTACGCGCCTAATTTCGCTAATCTTTGTTTCTTCTATTTTGTTCATTTTAGCCTTCAGTGTACTGAGACAAGGAAATTTAACTAACACCATACCAAAAATTAACAAAAATTAGCAAACACGCAAGATCCTAGTGTTGCAATCTGATTTCGTGTCGTTGAATCTATTCTCATGGTCACAAAAAACGACAAGGGAATGCTTTAGTTGTGGTTTTAATATAAGCATACATAATTGAACTATTTGTTTTTTTATATGTTTCATGCCTATTTTCTTTTATATAAATGGTGTGTGTTTTGCTTAAGCAATATAGGACGGTGACTTTAAGCCTACGAGTGAGGGTTGAGAGTGGACCAAGTCGTGAGTATCGCCCATCAATTGAGGGAACCTGATCTCAAAAATTGGAAAAGAAGAGACCTTGCTGGTACTGGCTGCCCCATGACATGAGAAAGAGAAAGAGAACGATGAGAGGGTACGTAGATGCTATTTTCCACCATAGAGACGACTTTTTATTCTTCAAAACAAAAGCCATGTGTTATACATAAAAATTATACACCGATAAGGATGAAAAATAATTAATGGATACCTCTAAAAACTTAAACCAAAAAATTAATAATCAAAATTTCAAATTAACGTCTTTGATCTTTTATTCACAGAGATGTGTTTTAAAGACCATGATTGCTATATGAAACAGTGTTTGATTTTACGTCATCACATTTACCGATATAACGCGACGTGAGAGAGCTAAAGTGTTAAACGTAACTGAATTTCAAGAAACAAACGCACCACAAGTCTACAAAATGGACCTAAAAGCCGCAAGTTGGACGAAATCTGGTTTTATAATTTCGTTAATGTGGAAACGGGAGAACCAAGAATAAATGGGGCCAAATTTTGATTGTGGACGCTAAGTCAAAAGTGGTTCACTCTTGCATTAACACTTGTCAAAATAAAAATAAAAATACAAATGTAGAAAGAAACAAAGAAAGCCGCAAGAAATATAATGGTTTTATCTAGAAAGTGATCGTTGAAGACAATCTTTAATTATGTTCTTTGATAAATGTGGCATACAGATCTAGAAGAGCTCTAATTAAGAAATGGTCTTACTTTTTTAGGAGAAATCTCTTAAATCTGTCAAAATACAAACAAATTTTGAGATATACGCACAGGTGATTTTGTACCTAATTACGTCATATACTTCATCCCTTTCAAATATAATTGCATTTTAAAATTATGACAAACTAATTAATAAAAAATATTAAAAATTTATATACAAATATTTTTTTAACCTTTTTATAAGAGTGATATTATACATTCTTATCTAACTATCTTTTGAGCTATTTTGATTTGTATTGAAGAAGAGAAATTAGTACAAGATAAATAAAAAAATATAATTTGTTAACAATGATTATACGGGAATAGTAGTTAAAAAAGAAATATAATGATAACTTTCAATTTTTTATTAAGAATAATTTTATTATAATTATTATCATATGACAGTTATAAATGAATCATGATTATATATACACTAATCTACAATAACCTTTATATTTATAATCGATGTTGTATTTTAATATTTTGATGACGGGTTTTTTATAATCTTTATTATATGTTTGTTAATCAATTAAAAATCATTTTTATTAGTTAAATTTATTTAAGTTAAGTTATTTTAATCGTTAAAATGCAACTTAATTGATTAATCATATCAGTTAGTTAGACAAATCTCTATATACATATTTTCACCAACGTTTCAAAACAATTCAAGCAATTTTTAGAGATATTTTCTTTCGTAATATTTCTTGAGACTCTTTGTTCTTATTTATTTTAGAAAACTCATTTTGTGATTGGATCTTTACATTTGCATATTGATTTGATTGTTGTAGTTTCTTCAAACATCTTGATTCTTCATTCGATTTATTGTATTTTTAGTGTTTGGAATTGTGGGCACTGGGTTAAGCACTGTAATTGTGGTTGTTATCATATGTTCAAGAACTGGATTAAAGTTTTTGGTGTAGATTGATTTTCTGCAATCTGTTCTTGTAATCAATCATTATTTGATTAGTGGAACTCAATTGAAGCGAATTTTTTTTATTAGATCAATTTACCCTCTCTTGATCTCAACTTGTATCTCTAACACTTCTTCATTTGTTCATC